GTATATACTTCTACTCTGAATTTCATACACATACATCCAAATACATATTGGTAACATCTAAGCATATATTCATATGCAAAGCACATTGCCTAGCATTGTTTTTTTTTGTTTTGTTTTTTGTTTTTTGTTTTTTTTTGAGACAGAGTTTCCCTCTTGTTACCCAGGCTGGAGTGCAATGGCGCGATCTCGGCTCACCGCAACCTCTGCCTCCCGGGTTCAAGCAATTCTGCCCCAGCCTCCTGAGTCGCTGGGATTACAGGCACGCGCCACCATGCCCAGCTAATTTTTTGTATTTTTAGTAGAGACGGGGTTTCACCATGTTGACCAGGATGGTCTCAATCTCTTGACCTCGTGATCCACCCGCCTCGGCCTCCCAAAGTGCTGGGATTACAGGCTTGAGCCACCGCACCCGGCCTATTGCCTAGCATTGTTTAGTGAATTTACATTTTTACATATATACAAAACACGTGTGCTTATTATGTTTGATCCTACTTTTTGGTTAAATTCTTCTTTAAAGATGAATGCAGCTGGGCAAGGTGGCTTACGCCTGAAATCCCAGCACTTTGAGAAACTGAGGCGAGCAGATCACCTGGAGTCAGGAGTTTGAGACCAGCCTGGCCAATAGGGTGAAGCCCCGTCTCTACTAAAAATACAAAATTAGCCGAGCATGGTGGTGGGTGCCTGCAATCCCAGCTACTCGGGAGGCTGAGGCAGGAGAATCGCTTGAACCCAGGAGGCAGAGGTTGCAGTGAGCCAAGATTACGCCACTGCACTCCAGCCTGGGTGACAGATCCACACTCCATCTCAAAAAAAAAAAAGATGAATCCTCTGCTGCTGGGTACCGAGAACCAGCTTGGCTGGAGAGACCCCCACCCAGGCGGCGCTGAAGGAACTGAGAGGCAGACACCCAGATGGGACGGCAAAGTGAGACTATCCGAGGGGCCAGCAGGCTTCCAACCTGAGAACCTCAGGGACTGGCGGCATTCCAGGCTGAAGACCCCGAGCAGATTCTGATCCACGTATTTACTCTCTTCTGAACAGGTGATTATTATTAACGTATTCTGTATTTTCTCATAACTCAAAAATGTACCAAGTAGGCAGCTGTTACCCACTTACCACTGATCACAGACAAACTAAAAGGTGTTCTCCACGAGGGAGCCACAGGGGCAGGGGCAGATATCTCAAAGAATTGTTGTAACTGGTGTGTGATATTTATACATTGTCCTGCCACTTTGGAATGCCTGACGTGATTTTCCACCTGGGGTGGGGGGCGGCTAGGCTTTCCTTGCCATTGTTCTCAGCAAAGAATATATTCTATCATACACTCAGCATTCATCAATATTCATCTCAACAGCTGGGAATCTAATTCCCTATATTATAATTCATAGCCAAACACATAGCGATTACTTGTTTGCACCCAGAGTTCTAACTACAAGAAGAGAATGGGGGAAATGGGTTTTTGTAAGAGCATGTGCTGAGGCACACACCCCCACAGAGCTAAGCAATCTAGTCTCAGAAATAATACCCATCCTTGTCCAAGTAATGAGGAACAGCCGGATAGCACATAATTAAAGCACCACATTTGATGATGCAGATCATTTAAAAAACGTGGGAGGCTGGGAGCGGTGGCTCACACCTGTAATCCCAGCACTTCGGGAGGCTGAGGAGGGCAGATCACTAGGTCAGGAGTTTGAGACCAGCCTGATCAACATGGTCTCTACTAAAAATACAAAAATTAGCCAGGCGTGGTGGTACATGCCTGTAATCCCAGCTACTCAGGAGGCTGAGGCAGGAGAATCGCTTGAACCTGGGATGCGGAGGTTGCAGTGAGCTGAGATCATGCCATTGTACTTCAGCCTGCATGACAGAGCAAGACTCTGTCTCAGAAAAAAAAAAAAAAAGAAAATCCACATAAAACTTCTGACTTCCCTAAAACTTAATAGTTGCCTATTGACCAGAAGTTTTCCCAAATATATGCTTGATTAGCACATATTTTGTATGCCGTGTGTGTTATATACTATATTCATACAATAAAGCAAGCTAGAGAAAAGAAAATGTTAAGAAAAACATAAGGGCCAGTTGCGGTGGCTCATGCCTGTAATCCCAGCACTTTGGGAGGCCAAGGAGGGAGGATCACCTTAGGTCAGGAGTTCGAGACCAGCCTGGGCAACATGGTGAAATCCCATCTCTACTAAAGATACAAAAATTAGCCAAGCATGGTGGCAGGTGCCTGTAACCCCAGCTACTTGGGAGGCTGAGGCAGGAGAATTGCTTGAACCCAGGAGGCGGAGGTTGCAGTGAACTGAGAGCAAGCCATTGCACTGCAGCCTGGGTAACAAGAGTGCACTGGAGCCTGGGTAACAAGAGTGAAACTCTGTCTCAAGAAAAGGAAAGAAAGAGAGAGAAAGGGAAGGAAGGAAGGGAGAGAGAACGGAGAAAGGAAGGAAGGAAGAGAAAGGAAATGAGAAAAAATTAATAAGGAAGAAAAAATATGAAGCAGATCATCATAAAAGTCTCCATCCTCATCGTCTTTAGGTTGAGTAGACTGTGGAGGAGAAGAAAGGGGAGCAGCTGGTCTTGCTGTGTCAGGGGTGGCAGACATGGAAGAAAAATCCATGTATAAATCGATCCATGCAGTTCAAACTCTTGTTCAAGTGTGAACTGTAACGACCTTGTTGGTTTCTTGTGCAACCATTTTTGGCTTAAAATCTATTATGTCTAATATTGGCAAAGCCATCCCAGCTCTCCCAAGTGTATTTTGTATAGTTTTCAGCTATATTTAGCTCCTACTTTGGGGATTGAGCTAATATCTAAAATTTAAAAGAATCCGGTTTGACTTGATACTAACTTATCCAGTGTTTTTCCCTATGGCCAAACCTACTGCTAGAGATGCCTCAAAGGTGGCATCAGGGGAGGTCCCTCAAGGGGCTATCCCAGACCATCTCGAGATGGCATCAGTCGGGATTTCAAAGATAGAAGAACCTGAAGGATGCCTCTAGGATAATCCATCCCAAGTATTTATTAGGGGGAACTTACATCCAGAGTCCTCGTGATGGACAGCGAGAAAGGAGATGTGACACCAAGCCTGTCTTTAACAAGAGGGTCTGGTTTTGGGGTTTGTGTGAGTATTCAAGGAAACTGACTGAGGGAGGAGCTAGTTTCTACGTGTTCAGCAGCATGTTGATGCTCCACCTCCTGGGTTCAAGCAATCCTCCTGCCTCAGCCTCCATAGTAGCTGGGATTACAGGCATGCGCCACCACGCCCAGTTAATTTTGTATTTTTAGTAGAGACGTGATTTCTCCATGTTGATCAGGCTGGTCTTGAACTCCTGACCTCAGGTGATCCACCCACCTCGGTCTCCCAAAGTGCTGAGATTACAGGTGTAATAAACGTCTCCCTCTCTGTCCCACGAAACCCAATTTCTCACCATAATTGTGTAGGGCAACATCCTACACAGCTTGGTCCATGCCTTGGAATGCTCCCTGGCACCTTCTAGAGCCCACAGTACCTCTAATCGTACAGTGGAGAATAGACAGCTAGCCGGGTCACAGAGCAGTCAAGGACCGCTGTGTTTTCTCAGTCAGGAAAAAGGAAAGTAGCGGGAGGCCAGGTGCTGTGGCTTACGCCTATAACCCCAGCATTCTGGGAAGCCAAGGCAGGCAGATCACCTGAGGTCAGGGGTTCGAGACCAGCCTGGCCAACTTGGCAAAACCCTGTCTCTACTAAAAATACAAAAATTAGCCATGTATGGTGACAGGCACCTGTAATCCTAGCTACTTGAGAGGCTGAGGCAGGAGACTCACTTGAACCTGGGAGGCAGAGGTTGCAGTGAGCCAAGGCCATGCCTTTGCACGCTCCAGCCTGGATGACAGAATGAGACTGTTTCAAAAAAAAAAAAAAAAAGGTGGGGAGCCAGGCTCGGTGGCTCATACCTGTAATCCCAGCACTTTGGGAGGTCAAGGCAGGAGGCTCACAAGGTCAGCAGTTCGAGATGAGCCTGACCAACATGCAGTCCAGCCTAGGCGGCAGAGCAAGT